ATTAATAAGTTAAAGAAGCAGTTGGCAAACGAGTTTGCTATGAAGAATTTGGGTGCAACCAAGTAAATTCTTGGGATACGAATCAGTGGGGATATGGCTGAAGGGACGTTGTAATTGAGTCAGGCTGAATACATTGAGAATATACTTCAAAGATTTAACATGCAGAATATAAAGGCCGTTGGCACGCCCCTTGGAAGTTAGTTCAGGTTATCTGAGGAGCAATCGCCCAAGACAGTTGCAGAGAAGAAGTTCATGACCAGAGTGACATACTCATCATCCATTGGTAGTCTTATGTATGCGATGGTTTGCACGAGACCGGATATCGCCCATGCAGTAGGAGTTGTGAGCAGGTTTGTCAGCAATCCAGAAAAGTAGCATTAGGAGGATGTGAAGTGGGTACTGAGATACTTGAGAGGGACTATAAATATGCCACTATGTTTTAGGATAAAAGAATTGGTACTGCAGGAATATATGGATGCAGATTTTGTCGGTGATCATGATATAAGGCGAAGTACCACATGATATGTTTTTACCTTAGGGTCGATAGCAGTGAGCTGAGTCTCACGCTTGCAGAAGATGGTGACGTTATCCACGACTAAGGCAGAGTATGTCGCAGTGACTAAAGCTAGCAATGAGATAATTTGGTTGACTGAATTTCCGGAAGAGCTGGGTCTGAAGCAGGGGAACAGAGTTCTTTATTGTGATAGCCAGAGTGCTATACACTTTGCTAAGAACCTAGTTTATCATGCCAAAACGAAACATATCGACGTGCGTTACCACTTCATACGCTTGCTGACAAAGGACGAGAAGTTACTATTGGAGAAAATTTTGAGGAGCCAAAATTCTGCAGATATGTTGACAAAGGCAGTGACCATTGAGAAATTGGAGTTGTGCACAACTTCAGTTAGCCTTCATACGTAGGAGGATAGGTGGGATCATAAAGATTAATATTAATTGAAGAATGAAACATTTCGGGGAGGAGAAGGTGCTTGCGAAGATGGCTGGAGTTTAAGAGAGCTTGTTGATGGAGGTTTGGTCTTCAAGTAGGAGATTGTTGGTTTTCCGGTGTGTAGACCTAAACCTGAGAACAAAATCAAAAGCTGAAAAATACCCCTATCAGTCGACCGAAGAAGTAGACCAGTCGACCGATTTGATTGTAGGAAAGAAGCTGGAAAACGTCACTCTGGTCGGTCGACTGCCGGGGTGCCACCAGTCGACCGATAATATACACGAAGCAGACTGTAGAAACTTTTCTTCTGATCAGTCGACTGATGCACTTGTTTAGTCGACTGATAAAAGTGCATCGGTCGACCGATAGCGGTTAAAATAGATTCTTAACCCATTTGGGAATCTGTTTGAGTTAGAGTTTCTATATATATTTGGACGTTCTTTTGAGAAAACACACAAAATAGAGAGGATTTTGAGAATACTTTGAGAGAGAGATCTCAGAGAGAGAGAGAGAGTGATAGCCGTTTGCAGTCATTGTAATCTTATTCAATAATCAAAGAATTTCTGTTGTGGCTCCCGAGGACATAGACACGTTTGTCGAACCTCGTTAAATTTGGTGTTCTCTCTTTTTATTTGTTCTTTCCTTTAAAGTTTTCATTTTGTTGTGATTTCTTGCTTGCTAATTATTCATCACAAGATCCAGAGGGCACGGGTTGTCGATAGATTAACCGCAATAGTTTATTCATCTCGCACAGAGCTCTGAATTAAAAAAAGGTTGGTGAGTAGACCAATGTGATACGACCACACTTAGTAAAAAAGACGCACATTGATGAAAGGAAACTTTTTTCTCTAAGTGTTTCTTTCATTGCAACAAAAAAATATAATCGCAAAGAAATCTCTAGTTGCAACTATTGACTAACAAAAATTTGAACATATGATGCAATTACATGCTTCTTGCGCCATAAAATTGTTTAGAGTGTAACTATGTGATGCCCCTATTTTCACATATGGTTGCAGTCTAAGATGAACCCAATGTTAAACCTGTCATGCATCCAAACTATGCAACAACACGTTTCACCATCATAATAATATCTCTCTGGTGGAATCAAATACAAGTGCAGATACAAAACAGACAAAAAAGGGAAATATATGCAATAGACATGGTGTAGAAAGAGATATCTAATATATATAATTATGTCTCAACTGAATAAATTGAATATAATTGAAGTCTGAAATAAATGTGAAGTATCTCATTATGAGTCAACTGAAAATAAACTAAGGCACACAGCCTTTACAAGATGAAATACAAAACTCTAAATATCTAGAGATAAATGTCAACTACGGTGGAGCCTTATCTACTAAAAATATATAACAGTGACTATACTGGAAATCCGTTATCCTGCGGCTCTTCGGAACTCTGTGCTGCTGCCTGAAAGGAATTGAAAAATAAAAAAAGAAACAACAAGAGCGTCAGAGCGCTACAGCAAGATCATCTCCATCCGTTACCAGGGGAAGAGCTACTAGATGTGATGGAGACTCTATTTATTAAGCATAGTCTACCTAGATAATTTACCCTGTATCTAAACGGAATTAATATTTAGAAACCTATAACACGAGATGTAGTATGTCTAACAAAATAATCCAAACAAGAAAACCCTCATATATATACCATATGTCGCAAATTATAGATAACTAAATATCTATATCGGACTAAGAATAAATAATCTAAATAGAATCAATAATTAGAAACTCATAACACGAGACTGGTACGTCGAGCGAAATAATCCAAATAAGGAAACCCTCATGTATATACCTTATGTCTTAAATTATGAATCACTAATCATCAATCCCAACTAAGAATAAAGGATAACAATACAAGAAAGTAAAATCATCATAATATCGGACCAAAAATATCTTCCACTATCCTTTGAAAGATAATGCAAACAACTGCATATAATCCAACGTACTTACAAGAGTAAAGTACCTCGGTCATTTATAACTCAGCGATGAGTTATGTTCATAAATAACGTCCACCAAGACTCATGCTATCAAATAATTATCACAATGCAAATCCTTGTGAAATTTATAATTCATCGCATTATCATGCGGGACGAACTACCAAATTGACATCCTAAAAGTGTACACGACTCATTAGTCTCATCGCATCAACGTGCAGGACGGACTACCAAATCAGGCATCCTAGGTATACGGCTCACAAGACTCATCGCATCTACGTGTGGGACGGACTACTAGATCAAGTATTCTAAAACCCGACTCAATAGTCTGTACTAATGGTATATCGACGCACTATCTAAAGTAGTACTCAGCAGTGCTCATCAATGATATCCATACAAGTATATAATGTTTAAATAACTCATATCTCCCGTGTAATCGAAACAATAACTGTATTAATCCTCTTCGGGATACCCATGTGTGTGCTACGACACTATACGTGTATACTCATGATTGTACGTGTATCTTCGTGTGCCTTGAACCTCTCGTTCAAAAAAATATATAAAAAACAATACTTCAAACAAAAGAGAACACAGGTCGGTCAATCGCCCATAGGGCGTCGGTCGACTGAATGCAAACGTGCACAAAGTGCACTCACAGGATCTCACCAGTCGATCGGCTAGCCTTGGTCGGTCGTCTTGCCAGAGAAGATCTTTACAGATCAGGTTTTGGTGTTTGTATTTTTTGTAACTTTATTCAAAAACTTAATTTTATTAACATGAGGCATATAACAAGATTTAAGCTTTCATATTTACTTAACAGGGACTAACTCAACATGATTTAAACTCTTGAATTAATCTAGTTAGGGTTTAACATCTTAATTAACCAAAATTTCTCAAATAAAACATAAATTATCAACATGATTAACTAAGCATGATTGAAACTAATCATTGAATAGATATAAATTAATTTAAACACGTTCATATCACTTAGGTATCACAAACCTAGGGTTTATACATATTAAATTAATAAGAAAATTCAATTAATTGTTAAACTAGGATTTAAATATGATTTAAGCATGATTAATAAATTAAAATGAAAATAAAAGCAGCTCTAATGATCATGATCATCAACTAATATAAACAACTAAACCTATAGATTTTCACATTGGTTTAAAGATTAACATCATAAACTAAGATTTTAAAACATAAGGTTAAGCTTAAACATGAGATTCATCAATTAAACATATTAAATCTTGAATTAACTATAGGAAAAAGTTTAGAAGAAGGTGATCTTACCTTAAACATTGTGTTGAATTCTTGAACACGTGCGTGTAAGATCCCTTTTCACCAAAGTCGCAAAACCCCACATTCCTCTTGACAAACGTCTCAAGTACTCTCCCAAATCTCACAAATTATGATTAGCGTTTGAGAGGGAGGAAGAGGGACCGCTAGAATTTGGAATACTAATGAAAAGATGTATTTTTCGTGTGTAAACATGTATATATATAACTGCAAACCCGAATCTAAACAGCCTAAACCCGAAACAGGAAACCCAGTCAGACTGGGAAAAATAGTCTTCGGTAGTTTGGTTGTAACTTTCACGTACAACCTCGGAATGAGGTTAATTAAGATGCATTGGAAAGATATTGAAGATACCTACAACTTTTGTCTTTTGAGTTTTTCCAGATTTGAACTGTATCGGTGTGAAAAGTATATATACTATTAAGTGGTTATTTTTCCAGATTTCTTCTTTGTGCATGTATAATTTTTTGTATACTCTCATATATACTCTTAATTGATCTCAAATCAATTGTTAGCATAACTATTCATTCATAAATTATATTCATCATAATTAGAGCTCATTTATCAATATAATTCACACTATCTTCCAGAATTCACGGGGCTTTATAAACTACGATAGCATTGATCAACAGTGATCGAAAAAGTTATATCCCAATGCCAACAACAAATTTTTTTTTTAATTCCAACAAAACAACTACAACAACAAGCGACAAATATATATAGCGGTAGCAATTGGGAATTAAATGTCAATAAACCAAACAATGATTTAGGACTCTTGGACCAACTTGATTGCAGGGAAGTTGCGAGCACCTACTGCAAAGAAATCCGGCTCTTGGGATTCCGATTACTCGGGCTCATATCTCTAAGCTTGGGACTTGAAGAAGGCTACATCGAAAGAGTTCTAGGCGAGCAAGAGCAACATATGGCCATAAATTACTACCCGCCGTGTCCTGAACCCGAACTCACGTTTGGGTTGCCGGCTCACACGGACCCAAATGCGCTCACTGTCCTTCTACAAGACCAGGATGTCCCAGGCCTACAAATCCTGAAAGATGGTCGTTGGTTTGCGGTCGAGCCCTGCCCCGATGCGTTTGTTGTTAATATCGGCGATCAGTTGCAGGTAAACAATAATGATAGAGCTTTTATCCCAAAAATTTCTGGTGTCGACTGCATGAATCTTAATTTTTCATTCGTTACTATGGGCAATCTCTCTCGTTAAAAATTCTAGCAAAATAGTTTGTAATTTGAATTCTAAGGAATATTAGGTGAAATTTTGTTTGATCAATGTTAAACTTTCTTTTGAGTAAAATTTCCATATAAATCGTCAAGTACTATTAGGGATTTTGCTTAAAAGTAACAAAAGTATTTTATTAGAAAAATCATCTTAACTTTTGTCCAAATTGATATTCACCACATTTATTTTTTATTTTTAATCAGAACCACCAATTTTTGCTTACATATTTACAATGTCACACCTCAAATACTATTTAGCTCAAAAAATTCAAAAATACACATTTTACCCCTGATCTTTCCACCTACTCCCCTCTTCCCTTTCCTCTCCTCCCTATCCTTGATAAAAATAAAGGTGATAAGTATCAATTTTGATAAAAGTTAAGATGATTTTTATATAAGAATCCTTTTGCTTATACATATGATGTTTTTTCCACCTATGTAAAAGTTTATGACATTTTCTCCAATAAAAAATAGTTACTGATAATTTTGTACAAAACCTCATATTTTTCCCAAGTTTTTTTTTCTCTCTATGTAATATTAGCCTGTGCAAAGCATTATTATTATTATTATTATTTGGAAATACACATAATTTTATTATATTGCAGGCATTAAGCAATGGCAAATACAAGAGCGTTTGGCACAGAGCCGTAGTAAATTCAAACAAGGAGAGGATGTCCATCGCCTCCTTCCTCTGTCCGTGCAACTCTGTGGTCATCAGCCCACCATCGAAGCTCATTTCCGAAAATGACCCGGCCATTTACAGGAGCTATACTTATGATGAGTATTATAAAAAGTTTTGGGGTAGGAATTTGGACCAGGAGCATTGGCCTTGGAAGCTTATTCAAAAGCCCCTTATTTTGGTTTGGTTTTTTAGCGCACCCCGGACCCCCACCCCACCCCCCCCCCACCGCCCCAGCTTTTCATTTTTATTAGTTATAGAATTTCAAATTGGAACGTTGATTAGTTATATATTATCCATAATTCAGCTCTACTTGCTAATTTTGACGTTCATGTCAGACATATAGTTGTTATAGTTTGTTCACTTTATTCACTTCTGTAAGCTGTAAGCATTGTTCTGTATCTATCAACAGATGTAATTTTCATCTGCGTTAATTTCTTATATAATCTTTAATGAAAATGAGTTAATAGCTTTATCTCCTTCTTAAAAAAAAATTGGACATAGATTTTTTCACACTCCACGCAATCTTCCTTGGCTTCTATTAGCTCGTCGTGCTCCTTGTGTTCGGTGGGAAAAAAAAATATCCCTCTACGGAAAATCATCGTGATACATGTTTCAATACAAATTAAAGTTGATGATCGACTGATACAATACGTGTTGATATAAATCTCAAGATGTATTTGAATTTTCAAAGTAATTGCATACTGTCTGTTATGATGATTTTTTGTTATTTGGCTATTCCATCTCTATCAAAATTATATCACGATAATGAATCTTTTTCACATGAATTGATATTATCCCCACGAGATTAAAAGAAAAAATGCTAATCTGGTTGATGTAGACAAGTGGGGTATGTTATTGGGCTTGGTCCAAAAAGAAAGAAATCAGGTATACAACACATCGCCGCCTTGACAGGCACAGCCCACGTTTAGTGGGCTTTAGCCCTTTTCCAGTCTGAATCAGGGACGCTTGAGCTGCAAGCAAGAAAATCACGGAAAGTTCTCAGTATATGCAGTTATGCACCATACAATTAGCTTTCATTATTGCTCCTTGTTTGTTTGCACCTTTCTTTCATTTGGAAAATTGACCCATTTTGCTTATGTGTCTGATAAAGGCTTGTTTGGTTCATTTCAGTATAATATGGGAATAGAATTTCAATAAAAAGGTATTTTTGAGTTTTTCATGCATTTCTTGGGAAGGTTCTTTTGTCTCAATTTCGCACATAAAAAAGAAAGAGAAAATCTACCACATTACAAATCCATGCTTTGGCTCAAAGCTTGCACCTTGTTTGTTTGCACCTTTCTTTCATTTGGAAAATTGACCCATTTTGCTTATGTGTCTGATAAAGGCTTGTTTGGTTCATTTCAGTATAATATGGGAATAGAATTTCAATAAAAAGGTATTTTTGAGTTTTTCATGCATTTCTTGGGAAGGTTCTTTTGTCTCTATTTCGCACATAAAAAAGAAAGAGAAAATCTACCACATTACAAATCCATGCTTTGGCTCAAAGCTTGCACCTTGTTTGTTTGCACCTTTCTTTCATTTGGAAAATTGACCCATTTTGCTTATGTGTCTGATAAAGGCTTGTTTGGTTCATTTCAGTATAATATGGGAATAGAATTTCAATAAAAAGGTATTTTTGAGTTTTTCATGCATTTCTTGGGAAGGTTCTTTTGTCTCTATTTCGCACATAAAAAAGAAAGAGAAAATCTACCACATTACAAATCCATGCTTTGGCTCAAAGCTTGAAATAAAAAATTGAACATGTTAAGAAAAGACATGTTAAAATTTTACAAGTGTTTCCCAAAAACCATCAACCCCTTTTTTAAATATTTTTTAACGCGCTTTCATAGTGATTCCATCTTAAAAAGCTTGGAATTAGCTTTTCCACCAAAGACGGCGTTTTGTGACGTATCTTCAGAGTTTTCCCAGTTATTTTTTTGACCCTGACATAAGAAAATTATGTCAGTAGCTTTCCATGTATTTTCCACCCAAAAATTTAAAATCAAACCGGCCCTAAAGCAAAATCACTCCATTTAGAGTGATTTTGTGAGAAAGTTGACATAGCCTCAACATGGAGACGAGATAAATGAATAAAAAAACAAAGTAGTAAACTTACCGCACTCCATGAAATATTTAGGACAATGAATTATATAAATTTATTTCAAATTAGTCCCTTAATCTTTTATAAATTATATGTTTTCTTTCAAATTGGTCCCTTAATATTTTATAAATTATATGTTTTCTTTCAAATTAGTACCTCTTCTGAAGCCATACAGGAATCTCTTGTCTTATGGTAAACGGTCGGAATCAGTCCACGAATGAGTTCCTTCTTTTAAAACTTAAGGCCCTCATCCAGTTCCTTAATCTTTCAAGTTATTATTTTTTTTGTCTTTTAGAGGTAATCTTACCTATAGTATGATCCATTTGAGTGTGAACTAACACTTTCCAACTTCTCATTATGCAAAATGAGCAAAGATTTTCTTGACCAATAATGATTCAAAATGGAACTCAACCCCCCCTCCCCCCCCCCCACACACACACACACCAACCAAATAAAAGGTAAAAGGGAAATTGAGGTGGACAATAACTTTTCAACTTGTGTCATAAATGCACAAGTTTACAAAGCCCAACCAAATGACCCATATATGTGCAATGTCATCGGTCCGGCCTTGCATCGAACCTTGAACCGACAATGGTTCGATATTAGGGGTTGTTCGGTAGTTGTTGGTAAAATTGTGTATTTATGACATAACTTGGAAAGTTGTTGTCCACCTCATCAATTTTACTTTTATACTTTTCTTTGTTTGTTTTTTATTCCATTGGAATCATAAATTGCTTGTTTGTTTTGCAAATGAAACTTTAATTGTTTGTTTGGAAAGTGTTATTCCATTGGAATCATAAATTGCTTGTTTGTTTTGCAAATGAAACTTTAATTGTTTGTTTGGAAAGTGCAAAAAGTGGTCCCTACTCAAATGATTATATTGTTTAGAATTATTTTTTATTATTTTTTCCTGACTTCAATGTCAGCTTTCTCCTAAAATCATGTTTTTTTTATGAAATCACTTTACAAGCCACATCAGCATATGAAATCACTTTATACTATTTTCACAACTACAAACAAACAATTGAAAGTAATGAAAGTTGATATTGGTACCCACTTTTTTACACTTTCCATCCTTTTACATGATAAAAACATACAACCAAACAACCCCTTAGTTCCCTAAATCTTTCATATTTTGAATTAGTACCTAAAATAATTGAAATTACCATCAGGTCGCTCGAATCTTAAGATATTTTAAATTAGTCCCTCAAATTATTAAAATTACTATTAGGACATATAATTCTTAGTTTATTTTAAAATTAGTCCCTCATATCAAGCATGATAGTAGCAATTAGAGGAAAATTAGTTCCCAAATTATTAAAATTGCTTTAAATGCTCAAATTCTTATATAAGTTACTTCAAATGAATGTCTCTAATTATTTCTTCTCCTCTTGATTGAAGGGACTAATTTCAAAAGAATAATTAAGAATTAGAGGATGTAATGGCAATTTCAATGATTGAAGGGACTAATTTTAAAATAACTTAAGATTTAAGGGACCTGAGAGCGGACTAATCCAAAATATGAATGATTTACATGATATATACTCTAAATATTTAATTTCACTACTTTTAATTTCTCCGTGGGATTCCATAATTGAAGTCGGAATTTCCTCGTTGCTATTTTCTCTTTGTACACCGTGAAGAAAATGAGTTTGCTCATATTTTAGCTAAGTTAACAAATTTTGTCGAAGTGTGATTCTTTCTGGGAGGATACTTTTCATCCATATATAAACATTTTTATCTATCGTATTGGGTTCAGATTTTCTATTTGTAGAGAAAACCTACAATTAGCTATACGGACTAATACTATTGGTGTATCTCAGTGGGTCCCATAATTAAATTTTTCATATAATTTAGATAATTAATATCATCGTTGAGGTCCACTGGGCAATTTGATCTAATTGGTGAACCGTAAAGTTTATCTACAATTAAGGATGTAGAGGATCTCTAGACCATTGTATTGCTGTTTAGCTTAATAATAAAGTTTCAGTTGCCAAATAAACCTAATTTGGATGAAGATGCAATTATCTTTAATACTCAAAAGTTAGCGAGGGAATGCTTGTTGGCAAATAAAACTAACTTGGTTTTAACAAATGATTCTTAAGGTAAGTGGGAGCCCCCTCTTATTGATGTATTGAAGATAAGTACAGCTTTAGGGGGGGTTATTGGTTGGGACAAATTGGGACCAAGTGGAAAAATTGTTCCAATGGAACAATTTTATCCGTTTGAGATATTTTGAGTTGGGTAAAGTGGGATAAGTGGGATAATGGGACAATTTGAGCATTTAATTTGATAATTCATATGGGATAATTGATGATGTGACACCTTATTAAAATATAATTTTATATATTAATTACTTCTAAATTAACTTATCTAATTGGTTTAGTATATTATTATAATATAATAATTATTTTACTTTAAATTAAAATATAATATGTTGTACTATAATTACTAATTAATATTATTAATTATTATATTATATTAGCATGCTATACTATATAATAATTAATATAATATAAGATCAATAGATTTAATATAATATTTTAATAATATAATATTTAATATAATAGATATTTTTATTTATAACCAAAAATATAATATGGTTATACATAATTTACTAATTAATATTATTAATTATTATATTTATTATATTATATAATATGATATAAGTATGATGAACAATATTTTAATATTAATACATTAATTATATTATTTAAGTTAATATATAATATAGTACCATAATAATACATGGATTGTATAAAATATCTATAATATTTTACTTTATCATATGTAATATTTTAAAATATTTATATATATATATATATATAATATATTATTATATATATATATATATATATATATATATATATATATTATATATATATAATATATATATTATATATAAATATATATATATATATAAATATTATATATTATATATATATATATAATAATATATATATATATATACAGGTAATTTACAATAATATATATTATTCAAATATAAATTTTTTAAATGCTATATTGTAGTTAAATATAGTTATATATTAATCATTATAATTACTTGAATATAAAAAATATCTAAAATGTATTATATTATAAGTACAATAATAAATTTATTATATTAATTAAAATATAAATATGATCACATTCATGATTTATATGTTATTATTATATTATAGCTATATTATTAATTGGTTTAATATAATACACTATAAATAATTGGCTACAATGAATATCAATTACAATTAAATATAGATAAATATTATATATTAATATATGTTACTAAAATATTATATAATATTATAATAAATATGTTGTACTATTATATAATATAGTATGTGATATTGCATAATAGTATATAATAAATATCATAAAATAAATTATACATATAAATTAAATTATAATAATATTTTATTTTATTAAATGATAATATAATATAATATATTGAATATATTATTACTTTATATTTTATATATCATGTCATATATTTATATTATAATTAGCATGCATTAGTTAAGTAATATAAAAAGATTTGAAAATTATCCCAATTGTCTTCAAAGTGGAACAAAATTGTTCCAATATAGAGGATGAGGTAAATTTTTACTATTGGGATAAAATTTTTGTATATGAGTGGGATAATTTTATTCAAGTGGTGAAATTGTCTCACTAGTGTTCTAAAAAATCAATAACATAAAAAAGTAGGACAAATTTTTAAAAAGAACCGTTTTTTAACTTTAATGTGCAAAATCGACCCGTTCAAAAAAAAATTTAGCAAAATCGACCCTTTTCATTTGAAAAGGGTCGATTTGGTTGATGGGAATTTTTTTTGGAGTGCACGGGACTGCTAGTCCCGTGCATCCAATCTCTCTCTCCTCACTCATCTGCCCTCAGCTCTCTCTCTCT